AAAAAATGTTTGTTAAATAAGTGAATCCACATTCAGAAGACGGCTACATAGCTCTTGTGTTGCCATCTTGTCTGTACAATGAGCAGCTCATGGATAGCAGACATGGCATACTGTCTTTGAAATATACAAGTGGGAGGCAGAGCTGTGTTTCGGAGTCAGACACACCTGGACTGGAGGTTTGTGACCCTGGGAAGAGAAGTGAATCTCTTTGAGCCTCTTAAAGATAGAGATAATGATAGCACCTGCATCCTAAATTGTGGGGAGGATTAAATGAATTGCTGAGAAGTGGATAGCTTTTAGGAGATAGTCTCTTGGGTGTGGACCTCACATCAGTCCCTGAGGTTGCCCAGCCTCTCTTAATTTTCTTCACCAACCAGTTTCTGAGCAGAGATCCGCCCTAGCTGACCTATATGGAGAATCATGTTTATTTCTGGGCATTTAAAGAGGACTATTTTTTTTCTTGGCTTATGAAAATTTATTATTGTCATCTTTTCACCATCAAAACTTACGATACTGGTCTTTCCTTCTTGCCTTTGTATAAGGCCCAAAGAGAGACACTGGCTACTTGGACAACCTTAAAGTGAACTCCAGGAATGTCACCGACAGCATGACCTTTGCAACCAAATCCAGCAACCAGAACCTCATCATTTTCCTCAATAACATTCAAACACCCATCATTGGGTACAAAGTCTGTGATTTTTTTGCCATTTTTTTCTTTTAAAGATTTTATTTTATTTATTTATTTGAGAGAGAGAGCGAGAGAGGGAACACAAGCAGGGGGAGTGGGAGAGGGAGAAGCAGGCTTCCCACCGAGCAGGGAGCCCGATGCGGGGCTCGATCCCAGGACCCTGGGACCATGACCTGAGCCGAAGGCAGTCGCTTAACCAACTGAGCCACCCAGGTGCCCCTTTTTTGCCATTCTTGATCAGCTGGACCCTGACACACTTCCTGATGGCAGAATTCGGCTGCTTGGCTTCAACTCCTACTTTTTCCAGCACAATTCCTTTTGCATGGGAAGCACCTCCAAAAGGGTTGGCCTTCAGGGCTGTGTCTAAATGGGCTTTCTTGTACAGTTTATCATGCCACTTCTGATCTCATCAGTGCCTGCAGAGCTTCCCAGCAGTATGGAGACCACGACACTTGTCCATCCTGCTGGGCCAAGGGCCTGAGCAAAAAAGCTTAAAGAGGACTTTGACCAGCATTATAAAACTGGCGTGTGAAAAATGGATTTTTATTTATTTATTTATTTTTAAAGATTTTATTTATTTATTTGTCACAAGCAGGGGGAGTGGCAGGCAGAGGGAGAGGCAGAAGTAGGCTCCCTGCTGAGCAGGGAGCCCGATGCGGGACTCAATCCCAGGACCCTGGGATCAGGACCTGAGCCGAAGGCAGACGCTTAACCGACTGAGCCACCCAGGCGGCAAAAAATGGATTTTTAGACATTCGATAAAAACTTAAAAAAATGAGTAAAGTATGGACTTTAGTTAATAATATTGCTCACTAGCTATGACAAATGTACAGTAGTAATGTTAACAATAGGAGAAACGAGGTGGGGGTTAATGTTATTGTAACTTTCTTATCAATCAAAAACTATTCTAGGGCGCCTGGGTGGCTCAGTCGTTAAGCGTCTGCCTTCAGCGTCCTGGGTTGGAGTCCCGCATCGGGCTCCCTGCTCGGGGGAGCCTGCTTCTCCCTCTCCCGCTCCCCCCTGCTTATGTTCCCTCTCTTGCTGTCTCTCTCTCTGTGTCAAATAAATAAATAAAATCTTAAAAAAAAAAAAACTATTCTAAAGTAAAACGTTTATTAGCTATTAAAATATCTATTAATATCAAAACTATAAGAAGTCAAAAATTTATATGCATGTTTATAATTTCTTCCTATATGTACATAATATTTCTATATGTATAAAATATCAGAATAAAAATGGAAAGGACTTTTTAAAAAAGATTTTATTTATTTATTTGAGAGAGAACAAGTGGAGGGGAGGGGCGGTGGGAGGGAAAGAAGCCTACACAGGGCTTGATGCTAGGACCCTGGGGATCACGACCTGAGCTGAAGACAGACACTTAACCGACTGAGCCACCCAGGCACCCCTGGAAAGGAATTTTTTAAATGGACTTCAGCTAGGAATAAGGAACACTTTGGTGAGATGATAATATTGATTACTTTCTTCAAAAGCATGGAACGCCTGGGTGGCTCAATTTGTTGAACGTCCTGATTTCAGCTCAGGTCATTATCTCAGGGTTGTGAGATCAAGCCCCACATGGGGCTCCGCACTCAGAAGGGAGTCTGTTGGAGATTCTCTCTCTCCCTCTGCCTCTCCCCCTCCCCCTGCTTGTGCTAAATAAATAAATAAATAAATAAATAAAATAAACCACACAGGCCTTTCATGTGAAGGACAAGATATATGCTGTATAGTGCCCAAGGCAGAAATAATGAGCAGAAATTACAGATGCTACAGTTTCACCTCAGATAATGATTAAAACTGTCCACACACATACACAAATGGACATAACCTGAAGAAGCATATGACCTCTTTCAAAGTTGTTCATAGAGGGGCACCTGGGTGACTCAGTTAGTTAAGCCCCTCTCTCTTTTTTTTTTTTTTTAAAGATTTTATTTATTTGAGAGAAAGAGAGAGTGCACATAAGCAGGAGGAGCGGCAGAGGGAGAGGGAGAAGCAGGCTTCCTGCTGAGATCATGACCTGAGCCTAAGCAGACACTTAACTGAGCAATCCAGGCACCTGTACTTGATAAAATTTTATATATTTTATGACCATCTCCTTATCTTATGTCTATCTGTTCTATCTTGCCCTTTTCTATCTTTATGCTTTTTCCCCTACTTTTCTGCTTTTGATACATTAAGTTCCCATGCACTAGGCTCAGACTTCCATTAGCTCTTTTCTCTCACTATATATGTACTGTATTTGTATTCTTTTATGTATGTCTGCCCAATCTCTCCACTTGTCCTTAGGGGTAAGATGACTTTTTTTTTTTGAGAGAGAGAGAGTGCACCCGCGCACACGTACAAGCAGGGTGGGGGAGGGAAGGGCAGAGTGCAAAAAAGAATCTTAAGCAGGCTCCACGCTCAGGTGAGCCCAATGTGGGGCTGGATCTCACCTTCCTGAGATCATGACCTGAGCCAAAATCAAGAGTTGGACACTCAACCAACTGAACCACCCAGGTACCCTGGGGCAAGATCACTTTTATGTATCTTTGTATGTCCAGTGTCTACCCTGGTCCTGGCACAGAATAGACATTGAACAAATAATTGTTACTTAAACACAGATTATTCTCAACAAAACTGCCAACAGAGCCTTAAGAGATGTGTGTTAAGTATTCTTTCTCGGCCAATATCTATGTATGGGGGAGCCTCATGTGGAACAAATCTCTATAATGCCCATTCCCTTGCGATGGAAAGAGTCTACATAATCACATACTGGATGGCCAGGTCATAAGTACAGATGTAGGATTACAGGGACACAGGTGAAGGGCATGACAAATAAACTGTTAGCAATCCTATTTTGCAAAGAGGAAAAACCTTAAAAATTTTCATTTGGGGGGCACCTGGGTGGCTCACTCAGTTAAGCACCTCTCTCTTTTTTTTTTTAAGATTTTATTTATTTATTTGACAGAGAGAGACACAGCGAAAGAGAGAACACAAGCAGGGGGAGTGGGAGAGGGAGAAGCAGGCTTGCCGCTGACCAGAGAGCCCGATGCGGGGCTCGATCCCAGTACCCTGGGATCATGACCTGAGCCAAAGGCAGACGCTTAACGACTGAGCCACCCAGGAACCCCAGCATCTAACTCTTGATCTCAGCTCAGGTCTTAATCTCAGTGTTGTGAGTTCAAGCCCTGCATTGGGCTCCAGGCTGGGCATGAAGCCTACTTAAAAATCTTTTCCATTTTTAAAAACTATTTTAATTATTAAAATAGTAAATCATATATGTACTAAAATAAAGCTAAAATCCTCTTAGAATACTATCTCTGGGGCGCCTGGGTGGCTCAGTCATTAAGCGTCTGCCTTCAGCTCAGGTCATGATCCCAGGGTCCTGGGCTCGAGCCCCACATTGGGCTGTCTGCTTGGTGGGAAGCCTGCTTCTCCCTCTCCCACTCCCCCTGCTTGTGTTCCCTCTCTTGCTGTGTCTCTCTCTGTCAAATAAATAAAATATTTTTAAAAAATAGAAAAGAGTGAATATTAGTAATGCTGCTTTTGGGTGGAAGTAAAATAATAAAAATTAAAGTGGCTTGGGGTGCCTGGGTGGCTCAGTCGGTTAGGCATCTGCCTTCAGCTCAGGTTGTGATTCCAGGGTCTTGGGATCAAGCCTCAAGACCAGGTCCCTGCTCAGTGGGGAGCCTGCTTCTCCCTCTCCCTTTGCCCCTCCCCCTGCTTGTACTCTTGCTCATTCTCTCTGTCAAATGGATAAACAAAATCTTTTTAAAAAATTATAGTGGCTTTAAAAATAGCTTATTTTTATCATACAGTAGAAGTCCAGAAGGCTCGAAGCTGGCTTTTCTGCAATTTCTTGACCATTGTCACAAGATGGCCTCCTGGACTCCAAGCATCACCCCTTCTACACAATCACATCAAAACCAGAAAGGCTAGGGTGGGATGTGGGGAGAAACTCTTCTTTCTTTTCTTTCCCAGAAATTCCCAGCAGACTTGCCCTTATATCACAGTCCAGGACTAAGGTCACAAGAGAGGCTGAGAATGCATGTACTTGGCATTGTCTGCCTCTACTGTGGGAGGCAGCCCTGCCAGTAAGGAAGATGGAAGAGGAGGTTTGACCTTGGTAAGGCAGCCAACACCGTCTGCCACAGGGGCCTTGTAGCTACGGTCACTGCATGCACCTTGCTGGTTTCTTATGGCCAATGAGCTAAAATATGAAATGTGTGCTGTCACTCGGAGTAGGAGGATCAGACAGTGGAAACCGAGTAGCTGGTAGAGAAAGGCAGTCTGATGAATCAGTAACCTGCAAGAGTCAGAAAAGCTGGACACGATGGCTAATCCACAAAGCCATTCAAGTCAGCAGGACAAAACTACCAGGTAATCAGCTGAATACTGAATACCAAATACTCAGAGTTCCCTCAGAAATCCTCTCTGGATCTTCCTCCCACTCTGAAGCCTCACACTTATTGAAAGTGATCTTTCTGTTGGGGTTTCCCCTCTTAAAGGTTTGACCAAAAGTTGACTTTGTATTTGTTCATGTTATTTAAGGGTTCTGTCCCAGCACCAGTGTCAGTAGACAAGAATTCACAGAAATCCAGAAGCCAAAAAAAAAGAAAGGAAAAGAAATCCAGAAGCCAATAGTGGGCAGAGCATTGTTGACTCTGCTTATTAAAGATAATATGATCTGTCATTTGCATTGATTAATGAGGACACCCTCCCTTATAGAATGCAAAGAATAATGCCATGCCAGATTTTTGTTTCATTCAGTAGAATTCCATCGTCCCAGCAACCTCGAAAGAGCTATTCTTTTTTTTTTATTATGTTACGTTAGTCACCATACATTACATCATTAGTTTTTGATGTAGTGTTCCATGATTCATTGTTTGCGTATAACACCCAGTGCTCCATGTAATACGTGCCCTCTTTAATACCCATCACCAGGCTAAGCCATCCCCCCGCCCACCTCCCCTCTAAAACCCTCAGTTTGTTTTTCAGAGTCCATCGTCTCTCATGGTTCATCTCCCCCTCCGATTCCCCCCTTCATTTATTCCTCTCCTGCTATCTTCTTTTTCTTTTTTTTTTTTTAACCTATAACATATTATTTGTTTCAGAGGTACAGGTCTGTGATTCATCAGTCTTACACAATTCACAGCGCTCACCATAGCACATACCCTCCCCAGTGTCTATCACCCAGCCATCCCATCCCTCCCACCCCAACCCCCACTCCAGCAACCCTCAGTTTGTTTCCTGAGATTAAGAATTCCTCACATCAGTGAGGTCATATGATACATGTCTTTCTCTGATTGACTTATTTCCGAAAGAGCTATTCTCATTAGAGCTATTTTTCATTAGAACAAAATAGTTAATGTATAGCAAAACAAGGTGGTGGGGTGGTTGACTGGTCATTATGTATTGTGAAGTGTGGACAAACATCTTTTGTTTTGTTGTTGTTGTTAATAAAAACATAATAATAAACATCCTGATCAAATTTGAAAGGCAGGTGTTCGAATATTTTTAATTACAAGGACTAGTGCATAGTGCCACAGTTAGTCAAATCTAGAGTTCCCATTTCAGACTTAGATCATAAATGTGGGCATTATTACCTTTTACAATACACCATTGATAGAACACCAACTTTAAAGCCAATTAAAGGTTGGCAATCTTCCTACCTTTGGCAAAGTAACACTTGTTAACAGTTCCCCTTGTGACACGTTTCAGCATAATCACTGATTTCTGGAAACCTTATTTAGCACTTACGGATATTTTGAAATCTCTAATGAATTTCTTTTTATAGACATTTTTATGTTTTACTTTAATTTTTTAAAGGTGTACGGGTAGTTCAATTTTATACACTCAGATGGTGTATATACCCAGATATTTATATGTGAAGGACAAAATGTTAGAGTATGTAGAATGATACTCTATAAATAATAGTTTGCTCATAATACTCAGATTTTAATGGTTCCATTTCTGAAAGAAATCTAATTGTACCCAAATTCATTCAGAAAAACTTCACACATTAGAACCTGAATATGCAGATGCCATTCTGTTTAATAAATTACAAGTTCTTGTCATTTAAGAATTGGTTAAAAAATAGAGTAAGTAAATTCTTTCACAGTTATTTACTTCAAATAAAAATGTTTTGGAGGCTAATAAAATCTTTTTTTCATTTCATCTGGAAATAATTTGATAAGCTTGGCAAAGATATGACAAAACAAATGAGCTAAGAACATTCAAGTTATTTTAGTCTTGAGTTACTAGCACGGAAGAGAGAATGAGTTCACCAGTGAAAGAACAGCCTGATTATATGCTATGCAAATGCCAACGTAAAAATGAGCAATAGCTCATTTCTGGTGTTCTGGTATGTTTCAAGTAGATAACATTAATTCAAGATGACACAATGCATCCAGGTACTCAATATTAGAATTAGATGACATTAGCACAAGATTATGGAAAGCATCCTGATATTTAATATTAGAAATAGATAGTATTAGCATAAGATGATCCAATGGATCCTGATATTGACAGAAGATTGATTCAGATACAAGTAAGTCGTCTTCAAAAAAATCAGCAACCTTCAGGACTTGCTTATATCATTTTTGTTTTTTGTCATCTAGCCATGCATAAGTTAACAGTACTATACAGGATCAGGGGATCATAAAGGCCACATAATTTAACGTGTCTTTATCTTTAGCTAGCTATTCCTTGCCCCATGCAGTGTTTATGTCAGGAATAAATAACAACATAAACATTTAATTGTTCATTTTTTTTACAAAAAAAAAAAACTGTTGTTTTTAACTGTTGTAACCATTGCAAATTTAATTAAGTACATATTGTTTAGTTTGATTTAATAAACAGAAAGATTCTTCCAAAGACATGTGCCTGTTGTCTAGGAATAAGTTTTTAAAAGTTTAGAGTACTATACAATTTAAAAGTTTGTAAATGATGTTGCTAATGGTGAAAAGTCAGAAACAACCCCATAAATAAAAATCAAGGTTTGATGAAATAAATCACATCTTTATGTTGGCTTGGCAGGACAATTAGTTGCCTATCCTTATCAATTAACCTTTACTTCTTAGTAACAGCCTGATTTCATTCAGGGTGGCAGTGTACCCAACAAAAAGACTCCATTTTCCAGCAGCCCTTAAAGTTACAGCAAAGCCCCATGACTAAGCTCTGGCTGATGAGATGCAAGCAGAGCTGGGCTTCTGAGAAGGCCCCTTAAGGGCACTGATTCAGCCTAGAGAGTTGGCTTTTTGCACTTCTCCCTCTCTCCTTTCTGCTGATGTTGAACTCCAGCAGCCTATTTAGATCATGAACTGACCTTGAGGGCGGAAGCCCCACACGGAGCTTAAAGGAGCAAAAAGATAAAAGGAATTCATGTCCTTTCAGACTTGGTGGAACATGCCAGCTTCATGGGCATGTGAACTATGCAGTCATACCACGACCCTTGCTTAAGAGGTCTCCAGCTTGGCCTAACACTTTATTGTCGCCATCTCGAAATTCTTAATAATTTTGTCTTTGAAGTTGTGTTTTGTAAGTGAAGTCTGATAGAGCAACAGAGCATGTGCGTGAGAAGAGGGTACGTGCAATATGCTAGTTTGCTGTTCCTTGTTGCTGTTTGCATACAGCCTCAAAAGCTCAGAATTCCTGTGGTTCCACAATGAGCTGGAGTTCAGCAAGACTCAAGAGAGTTCAAGGAAAGTGTGTTACATCTACAACTGATTTAGCTGGGTCTCTGACAGCCCTGAGAGGCTACACTTTCCATTTGAACTAGAACTTGCTATGCAGAGAGAAGGCAATGGCATTTCTAGAAACATGACAATCAAGGAACCCTGCTGTATCATTTCTGACTCATGTTGCTCTCCTGTAGTGGTCAACACCTTACCCTGGAAATGACGACATAGAAGGAAAAGGAAAGACAAGCCACCCACAGTTCTTTTCCTTTCAGTCCTTCTTACTCATTAGTAAGCTGAAGATAGAGAGTGTTGGTAGAAGGTGTGTATATCAAGAAGTAAAATAAAAACAGTTGATTTAATTTTGTGTAACGTTGTTACTGTCCCGGTAAGAACAAGGTACAAATACTTGCACAAGTTATGATACATGAATTATGTGATTTTAGTGATTGCCCATATAAATGAAATATTTTTATATTTGCATTTAAAACTGGCATTACTTAATATAAAGATGAAGGGTAAAATTCATACTAACAATTTAGATTTTTCTTTCTTTTGTTTTATTTATTTATTTTTTTTAAAGATTTTATTTATTTATTTGACAGAGAGAGACACAGTAAGAGAGGGAACACAAGCAGGGGGAGTGGGAGAGGGAGAAGCAGGCTTCCTGATGAGCCGGGCGCCCGATGCGGGGCTCAATCCCAGGACCCCGGGATCATGACCTGAGCTGAAGGCAGACGCTTAACGACTGAGCCACCCAGGCGCCCCAGATTTTTCTTTATTTTGTTACTTAGAATAACATTAAAGGGGCGCCTGGGTGGCTCAGTCATTGGGCACCTGTCTTCGGCTCAGGTCATGATCCCGGGGTCCTGGGATTGAGCCCCGCATCGGGCGCCCGGCTCATCAGGAAGCCTGCTTCTCCCTCTCCCACTCCCCCTGCTTGTGTTCCCTCTCTTACTGTGTCTCTCTCTGTCAAATAAATAAATAAAATCTTTAAAAAAAAAAAAAAGAATAACATTAAATAGGAAATACAAAAACACCATGACAAGTCAAGAGACAGTTTTTAGAAGAGAAGAAGAATCTTTATATTTTAGTATTGTAATGGGATTTCTCCTACTTTTTAAACAAGAGGACCCACATTTTCATTTTGTGCCGGACCCTGCAATGATAAAGCCAGCCATGACTTGTTGGGGCCAATCTACTATCAGTGATCTGCCTTCTTTTGTGGGTTTTTTTTTTTTTTTAAGATTTTATTTTTAAGTAATCTCTACCCCCAACGTGGGGCTCATGCTTACAACCTCGAGATCAAGAGGTGCATGCTCTACCGACTGAGCCAGCTAGGCTTCCCCCTGCTTTTGTATTTAAATCACTGTTATTTTGTTATAGTCCAATCTAATCCTAAATGACACTTGTAGAATACAATGTGGTCACTAAATCACTGCTAAAGAAGGATATTTGATTATTGGGAACACTTGCTTTTGTTAGGTTTTTAAAAAGTGGGGTAGGCACAGTATGTGACTTAAAAAAAAATACACACATACACACATATAGGAAAAAAAAAAAAGACCAGACATGATTATATAAAAGTGTTCATAGTGTTTATGTTTAGGGTTTGGGATTATTAATGATATTTATTCTCAGTGTGTGTGATTTTCTATATTTTTCAGTTTTCCTAAAATGAATATTGATTACTTTTATAAT